GGGAAGCATATTCAGGAGGTTTTTCTTCTGGTCTTGGTTCCCCGCCATTAAGGCAGACTTTAGGGGGGGGGGCTGAATTTAAGGTGCTCGGTATGATCGAAACATCTTGCCCTTCGACCGTCCTTCACTGTTGCTCAGTTGGGAATCCGGTTTTCCAGTGCCTGCCTCGTGGCTCCCAATCGAGGTCAACTCGATCGCCGGGTTTCAGAATTTTTTGAGTCTCGTCAAGCCAGCAATCCTTTGACGAAACCTCGTTTTTGATCATCGCTTTTCTCGTTTAATATTTATCCCTCGTTACTACAGGGGAAGGTAGGTACTTACGCGTTCCGAGGACTGCTGAGCTTCTTCATTAGCGCTTAGTCGATATCTGTGACTATTTTCCTGTCATTCGTTTCATCGTTGGTGAGTGCCACGAGGCGATACCTGAACCCTTACCTTCTCCGGTAGAAGTTGATTTGCCTACAAGAGAGGCAGAAATGTCTTTGACGAGTGTGCGAAGACCCCCGTTTTGGTCAAACAAGTGTTGCTTCCAAGTTCACGGCATGTCGTTGCGGTATAACCAATGAATGGAATACTTCAAAAGTAAAGCAAACAAAAATGACAAGATTTGCTGCAGTTGGCAGGTAGTTCAACCGAATATCTCCAATTATGATTTTCTCCTGCAGACTACGTCTACGGATCTAGTCGGTAAAGATCTTGGGCAGGGGAAAACACAGAACAGGTTTATCTGTCAATGTCGAATGCGGATTCGAGAGCCGACGTTGAATTCCCATCATTAAACCTCTCCTGAGAAAGCGATCATCCTCAATCATTAATCATCAAAGCTGAGGGTTAAAAACTGGTCTGACGGACACTCGGTCACAAATGTGCTTTTCAACTGAGACCGTCATTACGGTTGTCAACAAACTAGTGCAATTATAGTGGTTTACTGCAAAACCAGCAGTAAAGGAAGGAAGCAAAACCCGTTTTAACTCATGCTCCGCTTCCATTAACGATTTTCCTCTCTACGAGCAACAAGCACGCTCATAATTTCTAGCACTTTTACCATTTTAAGAGCCTGGTCTCAAAATAATTTCGCCATTAAAATTGTGAAATTACAAGTAAAAGCAAAGTTTATTCATTTTTGTAATCCGCGCCTTTAATTTATTGTCCAATTGTTATGGATACCAAAGACGGCATGAATAGATTACGGACTCCTAAGGCAATAATTTTGTACGTATGTGTAATTTGCTCGATCAGCTGGATATGAATGATTAGCTCAAGTTATTTAAAATTGGGGTAAAAACAAGAGAATCGATCGCAGGAACATCCGGTGAACGTCGTCAACTTTTAAATATATCCATGTTACGGTGAACATAAAACAAGGTCAGTGAGGTTAAGAATCGATTGCCTTATTTAAATTTAGGTTGAGTACAGAGTCTACCTTGTACTGACGATATTGTCAACGTCCAGGTTGGTTGTTTTCAATTAAGACTGTTTGAAACCTCATTACCAGTTTGGTAATCTTTGCCAAGACTTCGCCCGAATACCTCAACCAGCTGCTACATCCCAATCACCTACTGTTTTTGATCATTTCTCGATATAGACAGGGGGTATATTTTAATATTTTAGTTAAGGTAATTACTGTAATCACTAATTTCCTTTGGCTCTTGCACAGAAGGCGACAGAAGAAACAAGCCATTGCTCCAACAATCTCGGCAGTGACAAGATCACCTTGTCAAAATTGGCGAAACCGCTAGAAAAACTTGTTCTCCACCTCTGCACCGTTGCCGCATTCTGAGAAGCTGTCAGGAAAGGAGATGAGGAGTCCACACTGGGACTTTGACAACAGTCTTACTGAGAAATTAACAAAATGTTATATATTCATCACACTGAAAAAGGCAAACTGAAAACAGTAGTTTTGTTCTGCAGTACACGCACATTCTTTAGCGTAAAACAGGCGACTGTTCTGCCGGGGATTGCTGAAAATCGTTGCTTAAAGTCAGAAGCTTTAGGCGCTCTCGGTTGCCATCGTCCGAAGTAACCATATGTTTCATCCGAACAAGGGTAGTTGAAATAAACGTCAAAATGAAGATATCAGTTTATCAGCGTACTATACTACTATTTCACATTAATATAAATGAATATTTTTGGTAACTTAAATAAAGCGAGCTGAATAAATCATCGAGAACCGAACTTGGACCAACGGCATTGGGTTCATAACAAAGGGGAAGGCAGTATCCTTTGAACTGAATTGTGATATTATGTGGCTTTC